TAAGATTGTGAAGGCATCTTGCCTTGTGCACATCCCGGGCATAAGGGAGCTGTCTTCAGATAAGATAGATCTCGGGGGAATCCCTTAGTGTGATCTTTGGCATGACGTAAGACTTCCTTTGAAGGATGTCCTAGGCACTTATGCATTTGATCATAATCTACAGTGTAGATTGTGGAGTAAGATCATAAATTTGCGATCTTAGAATGAAGCCAATAGATAGTTTGGCCAGGAATCGCCGGATGGCATTGAATAACAGGGACTTTGGATCCCTTATTGCGCAAGGTTAATTGGTGTTCGTCCCCATAGACATTCAGCCCTTGCTTAAGAAATTCTCTGACACTCAGGAGTCTCCCAGTAATATCAGGAATGTAATATACTGGATATAAGCGTGTAGTGCGCGTTCTAGTGACTCCATTGTATGTGACATCATGTTCTAGTAGAACTGTACCCTTCCCTTTGATATAGATTGGCTTAGAAGCCGTTTTAACAGGCTCAGGGTTCGCCATGTCCTCATACTCAATGAAATTGTCGAGAGAAAAGGTAAAGTGCAATGAAGCACCTGAATCTAAGAGCCATGTTACAGTAGCCCACAAAACCGTTCCAATGTTTGGCCACCCTGAAGAGATTGACCTACCACACAATGAGAATAATTTCCAAAATTAGTAGAAATTAGTAGATGACAGTGTAGCATCTAAGCTTCAATTACAGCCTATAATAATGTCAATTGGATCAGTGGTTCATGATATATAAAATGTTTTGTGAGGCATTATCATTGGAACGGTTTTGTGGCCAACATGTGAGATGACAAAACCGGTATCTGGTGGTCATGGGAATGCATTGACAGTCATGTGACAATGTTTAATAAGTTGAACACACACCAAATAATCATCAAGAACACTTGCTTCTTACCATGCATGCCCTCTCTGCTGCCAAAAGGACTCACATCATCTCCCTCCTCACTTCAGGCAAATCTGCCCATAAAGTGTCAACTATGACTGGCCATGGCACTATTATCATCTCAAGATGGGTCATAAATACTGCCCTTACCATCCCAAGTCAAATGGAGGGAGACCAAGGAAGCTGACAGAGAGAAATGCTCAGCATGCTGTTTGCCTTATCTCCTCTGGCAGGGCAGACACAGATGTGGAAGTGACTAGAGCACTTCAGAAGTTGTTAATGGGTTCCTCTATCAACATAATATGCCCATCCATCCTCCCATCAAGTTTTCAAGCCATAACTGGCCCCTCCCATATCATACACCCCCATTCCATCATACAGTAACCCACAAAACCATTCCAATGTTTAACCATCCTGAAGAGATTGACCAACCACACCATAGGAATAATTTCCAAAATTAGTAGAAATTGGTAGATGATATTGTATCATCTAAGTGTCACTTAGAGCCTATACTGATGTCAATTGGGTCAGTGGTTCATGATATATAAAATGTTTTGTGTAACAATGTCATTGGATTGGTTTTGTGGCCTATTGCACTTATGATGGAATGGGGGTGTATGATATGGGAGGGGCCAGTTATGGCTTGAAAACTTGATGGGAGGATGGATGGGCATATTATGTTGATAGAGGAACCCATTAACAACTTCTGAAGTGCTCTAGTCACTTCCACATCTGTGTCTGCCCTGCCAGAGGAGATAAGGCAAACAGCATGCTGAGCATTTCTCTCTGTCAGCTTCCTTGGTCTCCCTCCATTTGACTTGGGATGGTAAGGGCAGTATTTATGACCCATCTTGAGATGATAATAGTGCCATGGCCAGTCATAGTTGACACTTTATGGGCAGATTTGCCTGAAGTGAGGAGGGAGATGATGTGAGTCCTTTTGGCAGCAGAGAGGGCATGCATGGTAAGAAGCAAGTGTTCTTGATGATTATTTGGTGTGTGTTCAACTTATTAAACATTGTCACATGACTGTCAATGCATTCCCATGACCACCAGATACCGGTTTTGTCATCTCACATGTTGGCCACAAAACCGTTCCAATGATAATGCCTCACAAAACATTTTATATATCATGAACCACTGATCCAATTGACATTATTATAGGCTGTAATTGAAGCTTAGATGCTACACTGTCATCTACTAATTTCTACTAATTTTGGAAATTATTCTCATTGTGTGGTAGGTCAATCTCTTCAGGGTGGCCAAACATTGGAATGGTTTTGTGGGCTACTGTATATGGCTATCGTCTGTAGTCTTTCCTTTACATTTAGCACACAGGCAATTATGCCGCAACTCAAATATATTGGTACATGACCTAAAGTCATGTACTGTGCTGTTTACTCCTGCATAACAACGGCTCTCAATAGGGGGTTCCCTAGAAGCACAAACTAAAGAAGCATAAATGCGTCTATGAGCTTTGCAGGGTAGAAGGAAAGGAGGGACATACACATCTTGATCGTCATCCTCGTCTAGACCAGCCAGATCAGCCAACTGATCATCAAGATGATCAGAACCCCAATCCAGAGGATTATTGGGGTCCTCCTCCTCGTCTTCTGAATCAATGTCGATAGGTGAGGGGGATCTGGTTTTCTTGCAGGGCAGCTCATCTCCATCCTCTTCAAGGTCCTCCAGTTTGGTCTTACTGGATGACGCTCTTGAGAATTGGTCAGTGATGTGGGCCTCAAGCAGTTTAATGTTACGAGAGGTCCCTGGCACACCTATATTGTCACACAGATCCAAGGCTTGGTTAAACGCTTGATAGCGGCCAGGGATCCACTCCTTAGGTGTGGTACACATCACGATGCGAGGCCTTCCATTCCTGTAATGAGATTTAAACACAGGAGGTGAGGGAATGGATGGTGTGGTCATGAGATGAGGAGGAGGGAAGAATGCCTGATTGGCGATGTGAGAATGCTGCTGTCCCTTGGACTGCTGATTATCTCTGTACTTCTTCCCGGCACAGCACCCATGCTGGAATTTCTGATCCGACTGTTTCTCCGCTTGCTCTGGCTGCTTGCCACCAAAGTGTTTCTGCTGATTAAAGCGAGGGTCACCCTGCTTCCATTTGATTGCCGAGAGCTTATTAGCTGCATGAGGGTTCTTACCCCTGGATCAATCTTGCTCCCACTGAGCAAGCACGGCATTGCGGATTACGGCTAGATTAATGTTGGAAGGAGATCTTCCAACAAGGATGGTGGGGATAAGGGCCTCCCATTTGGGAGGGAGCGTATGGAGCAGGAGCATGCCCTGCAAGACATCAGGGATGGTGACACTATTGGTCTCAAGGCGCTCAAAGGCAACCTCAAGGTGGTTAATCTGAGGCAAGGGGTGCTTGGCAGAGTCCAGGCGAAAGTTTAGGGCTTCTTTGAAGTCCCTAAAGATTGCAGCGGGCCCCACTGAGCCATACTTGCTCTTTAGACTGATCCATATAAGAAAGGAAGAGCCAGTTGAGGTATGTTCATGCTGGATCGCAGTGGACAGCCTCAAGATTATAGTGCTGATCGCCTTGTTATCAGCGCGGTCCCATTCCTTCTGAAGTAATTTTTCATCTTCAGTAGGGTTCTGTTCATCCTTGGCATTAGGACAAGGGTCGGAGCCATTCATGACCTCCCAAAGCCCACTAGACATAAGGAAAGCCCTCATCACATTGGCCCAAGCGGAATAGTTAGATCCATCAAAGACAGGAACGGCAATTGTCAGTTGAGACGACATTGTTAAGATTTGAGTAAGTGTTTTTGGAAGCGTGAGTAAATGGTTTCTGTAAAAGAAGCCATAGTCAGCATTGAATGCGACAAAAGATACTCAGAGCACAAAACAGAACTCAGGCTCTTAGAAACCATAGATGCGGCCATAAAGGTGCAATGGTGAGCTTAGTAGTTTTTATGCAGCCTTAAAGGCACATTAGCAGTGCAGCCATAAAGGCGCATGAACGTTGCATTCACTGGTAGCATCTACTTTTGCAGCCATATAGGCGCAGACACTTATCACAGCCATTGAAGGCGCAGAAAATGTTTATTGCAGCCATTAAAGGCACAGAGTGTGTATTGCAGCCATAAAGGCGCAAGATGCCCACCAGGGCCCATAACCTATAGAACAGGTATGGTGCAGCCTACACTAGATACTACATTACTGCTAGCTATCTCACCTTTGTTTTACTTTGAGACTTAGATGCAGTCGTTAATGTGATAGCAACTGCTTAATCTATAGCAGTTATACAGTAGTTTATATACAATTTAATGTACTATATCGGCTACTTAATTATACGAGTGTGTTATCTTGTTATTGATGTGATTTGATCACATGCCCGATCTTAGATGTATATGTAGCGAGCTATAAATGCATAGCTCAGTCTTTGGAATAGAAAGACTATATGATTTGTTAATACCTATAAATGTGTAGCTACACAATGAATCAGTAAAGTAATAATGTAGCTGTAACACAGAGAGTACTGACCTCAGTCTTTGGAATAGAAAGACTGAGGTTTCTAACTATGCTACTGAGTCTTTATGATAAAGGAAAATTGCACGACCCGCATGCTCTGAATATTGTGTTGTGTTGATACGGTAGTGATCGGACTCGGGCCGCCATCTCCGGTATCAATTGATTGTGTGCTATGGCTGCACTTCCAACATGCCCCCTTAGCCTGCACGCTGAACTCCCATTGTGTCTATGAACTTCTTGTGTTTCTTGCGGACAAGGCCCTTTGTCAACACATCAGCAAGTTGCTCTTCTGTCGGCACATATTTCAATTCGATGACTTGGTTTTCACACATGTGCCTCAAGAAGTGATGCCTTATCTCGATGTGTTTGGTGTAGGGCATAGCACAAGTCCAGGTAACTCGCGAGTTTTTTGAGTAGAGCCGTGGGAAAACTCACAGGTATTGATACTCGCGGATCCGGGTGATCCATGGGAAAATACTCATGCAGATCTGGGTATTGATTTTGGCACCCTGGGTACCTGCATGGGTACTTGCAGAATACTCGTGGGAAAATTATTATATAAAATTATTTTTTTACTAGGCTCGTCAACCTAGAACAGATAATGGCAGAAACATGGATTGAACACCTGAGACCTCCAGGAACAAGCTTGGTCCGGTGCTCTAACCACTAAGCCACCCAGCCTCACTGGTAAAGACACACAATATATTATATATAGGGTTATGCAGAATTGATTTTATCACTTGTATCTATTTAATTGTGAATGCGTTTTGATCTTATCACTTGTATTATCTTAGATGTATATCTTTAGTATCTAATTAATTGTGAACGCATTTTTGATCTTATCACTTAGATGTACATCCCAAGTATCTAATTAATTGTGAACACATTTTTGATCTTATCACTTGTATTAGATGTATATCCTAAGTATCTAATTAAATGTGAATGCATTTTTGATCTTATCACTTAGATGTATATCCCAAGTATCTAATTAATTGTGAACGCATTTTGATCTTATCACTTAGATGTACATCCTAAGTATCTAATTAATTGTGAACGCATTTTGATCTTATCACTTAGATGTACATCCTAAGTATCTAATTAATTGTGAACGCGTTTTTGATCTTATCACTTAGATGTACATCCTAAGTATCTAATTAATTGTGAACGCATTTTTGATCTTATCACTTGTATTAGATGTATATCCTAAGTATCTAATTAAATGTGAATGCATTTTTGATCTTATCACTTAGATGTACATCCCAAGTATCTAATTAATTGTGAACGCATTTTGATCTTATCACTTGTATTAGATGTATATCCCAAGTATCTAATTAACTGTGAACACATTTTTGATCTTATCACTTAGATGTATATCCTAAGTATCTAATTAATTGTGAACGTGTTTTTGATCTTATCAATTAGGTGTGATCCTGGCATCTCTGTACCGACATGTGCCAATGCGTGCATTCTTAAGCCTACCTTCCTAGATAGGAAGGCAATGCACGGTCCGATCGGCGCACCCCACACTTCGCATTTTTTCGCATTTTTTCGCATTTTTTCACATTTCTATAGATATTGTAACTGATTCTTGTTTTATTTTGGATCGGATGCATGATCTGACTTGAAACTTCGTGGGATTGTAGTAATATATATATTCTTTCTGTGTATGCAAGATGAAGATCTCTGGCTGCCTCAAACCTTACAAGTAAACCTACGAGTATACCCACGAGTACTCGGATCCATGTGAGTATAGGACTCGCGGCTCTGGGTGATCCGTGGGAACATACTCATGCAGATCCAAGTATGGGATTATCTAATCTAAATACCCATGAGTTTGGATCCGGGTAACTCACGAGTGCACTCGTGCTAGGCCCTAGTTTGGTGCGATCATGGAACTTGGGGTTTTGGGCAACGAATATTGCAGATTGATTGTCCATGCAGAGGGTTGTTGGTGAGTCACTTTTCTGGTGGATCTCAGCTAGTAACCGACATAACCAGACAGCTTCTTTTGCAGCATGAGCTCCAGCAATATACTCGGCTTCAGTGCTCAATAGCGTGATGGATGGTTGCTTCTTAGAGCTCCAGCTAATGGCTCCTCCAGCAAGTAGGAAAATGAAACCCAATGTGGACTTCCAATCGTTCACGTCACTGGCCCAGTCAGCGTCAACATAGCCATACAGCTCAGTTCCCTTAGGTGTGTCACGTTTGAAGACAAGCTTCGTGCCGCTCGTAGCTCTAAGGTAACAGAAAGCGCGGTTTAGAGCTTGCTGATGCTCTTCCCCAGGGTTCGCAGCATGCCTCCCAAGCACTGCAATAGTGTATGCTAGGTCAGGACGGGTGCCGAGCATAGGGTACATCAAGGCGCTGATTGCTTGCTGGTACCTTTTGACGTCAACTGTTGGTGAGTCGAGTTTCCTTAGATGCTCGTTTGTGAGGGTGGGGGTGCTAATGGGTCGCACATCGGATTTGCCAAAACGCGTCAAGATTTCTTCAATGTATTTTTCTTGGGAGAGCGCCATCCATCTGGCCTTGCAGTCACGCATGATGTGCATCCCAAGAATCCAGGTGATTTCGCCCAGGTCAGTCATCTCATAGGCATTTCCGAGTGCCTCTTTGTCTTCATTGATCTCCTTTAGGTCCTTTGACACCATAGTGATGTCGTCAACGTAGAGAGCAATGATAGAGGACTTTGCGTTTCTGTGGCGGACAAAAACTGCATGGTCAGCTTCGGTGTGTTGGTATCCTATGTTTTCAAGCTTAGCTCTGATGTCTTGATACCAGACGCGGCTGCCTTGCTTTGTTCCATAGACTGCCTTGATAAGTCGGAGTACCATCCCCTCGGGAACGTCAAAACCGGGAGGTGGCTCCATGTAAATTTCTTCCTTTAGTTTGCCATTCAGGTATGCTGACTTCACATCCATTTGGTGAACTTCCAGGTTGTATTCAGTTGCTAGTGCGAGGATTGCGCGAAGCGATGCAAACTTTGCCACTGGGGCAAATGTTTCAACATAGTCAACTCCCTCAACTTGAGTGAATCCCTGTGTGACAATACGAGCCTTGTGCCTCAAGACCTCTCCAGTTGGCCCATGCTTCGTGCGGAACACCCATTTGCTGCCAACCACCTTGCGCCCTGTGGGACGTTCGACGACTTCGTACACTCCCATGGCCTCAAACGATCGCATCTCTTCCTGGCAAGCAGCTTCCCATTTGCCGGTGTTGAGTTGCACCATAGCTTCTTTGAAGGTGCGTGGGTCACTTGCTAACTCAGGTTGTGCGATGTTGGCTTGCTCTGTAGGGTTCCCTTTTGTTTTGTAGGAACTAACAGAGTAACAAGGGTCATCGTCGTGGATAGGGGGGCGTGCGGTTTGCTTTGGTCAGGTGGTGATAGGTGTTGGTGTCAATGTCGGTGCAGATGCAGGGGTCTCTGTGAGTGCACTTTCTACTTCGCTGTTGCTACTTTGCTGAAGTTGGCTAGGGTTTTGCACTGGTGTATTAGGTAGCAGCTCTATAATGTTTTCGTTTTTATTGCCCTCACTGGGCTCTGTATTGTCGAATTCAATGACGACTCTTTCACTGGCTGGCCCCCCTTCATTGAATACAACGTCGCATGACTCGTAGAAATGGCCCATTGGGCGATGCACTAGACAATAAGCTTTGCAACTCCGAGCATACCCCAAGAATGTGCACAAGATGGACCATGCACCGAGCTTGGTGCGATACTTTGCTGGGATGTGCACAAACGCTCTGCAGCCGAAAACACGCAAACGGGAAACATCAGGTTTATTGCCACTCCAAGCTTCATCAGGGGTGGAGTCCTCCAGGGCACGGGTGGGTGTGACATTGTGCAGATAAGCTGCATACTCTAAAGCATCATACCAGTAATTGTCAGGCAAATCTGCATCAATGAGCATTGTCTGGACTTTATTGAGAAGCGTCCAGTTCATGCACTCTGCAACTCCATTATGCTGAGGTGTGTCCGGCGTCGTCATTTTGTGTTTGATGCCTTTGTCTTGTAGGAACCTCTGGGCCATGGTGGCAATGTATTTGCCCCCTCCATCCATGTGCAGCACTCTTACTTGCTGACCTGTTTCGACTTCTGCGCGAGCTATGAAGCGTTGTAGATGGTGAGTCACTTTGGATTTTTTGCGCAGGCCAGTGACAAAAACTCTTCAGGACTTATCATCCACCCAGGTGACGAAATATTCAAATCCTTGGTGAGATCATCGTGGCATCTTGCCACAGACGTCCGAGAAGATTCGCCCTAGGACTTGGGTTGATCTGGTCCCAGTTTCCCTCTGGATCTCAGTATGTGTTTGCTTCCCTTTGAGGCATGGTTCACAGAGGACAGGTGGACTGGTTTTTGAGGTAATGTCCATCCCCTTAACCATCCCCTTTTGCATCATTTGGAGAACAGCATCGACATTTAGATGGCCGAGGCGGCAGTGCTGGGTGTGTAGGTCAGCTTTTGCCACTGAGTGTCTTGCGACCAAAGCTACGTCATTATCCTCAGCTCCTTCAACTGGGAAAACATCAACCTGAGCAATCTGGACTCTCTCCAGAGCTATGGTGCAGGCATCCATTGTGTAGAGGTTGCCTTCGAGGTGGCCCTCACAGGTAAGCACTCCAGTCTGACTGTAGATCTGACAGGAGTTCTTGGTAAAATGCACATCGGCTCCATGACTGGCAAGTTGGGCAACAGATAACAAGTTTCCGTGCAGTTCTGGGACATATAGGACATCTTGGAGAATGGCATCACTCCACTTTCCATTTGCCATCATTTGGACATGGATGCAACCAATCCCAGTGCTGAGGATACTGCTGTTGTCACCTAAGACAATTTTTACTGGATTGGTGAGTGTTTTGAAATTGAAAAACCAGTTCCGATGGGAGCACATGGTACATGATGCTCCGGAGTTGATGATCCATTGCTGATTGAGATCAATGCGTGATGATAGGGCTTGTAGCACTTTGAACAGGAGTATGGGGCCATCCCCTTGCAGTGCACTGTCGCTGGCAGGTGCCTGGCCTCCAGTAAATGTGACTTTGGCTGTAGCGTTTGGGGGTTTCTGTGTATCATCTCTGGTGCTGCTCGCTTTGGCCTCATTTTCCTTCTCCAGTTTCCAACACTCTTCCACCACATGGCCACACTTCTTACAGTGAGTGCAGCATTTCTTTGTCTTCTCCTCTTCTGACTTTTCTTTTCCCTTTTTAGCTGTATTTGCCAAGCGCGTGAAGTAAGCAGTCACTCCAAGGCCCGATTCTTGAACGCGGCATTGTTCATCAAGAATTATTTGTGACTTGACATGCTCAACGGTAAGGGAAGAGGGGTTGGCTGTAGAAAGGATGGTTTTTAGAGTGGATAGGGAGGTTGGGAGTGAGGAGATGATTGCGAAAGTGACAAGCTTGTCATCCAGTGGCAAGCCAATGTTGGATATGGTATGGGCAGCCCTGACAATGGCATTTATCTGGGGCTCGAGGGATTCTGTGTCCGAGAGGGTGGAACGGAATATGTTGTTGATAAGGTAAACGATCTTCTGTTCTCCTTTGCCTTCATAACAGACTGATAACTTCTCCCAGCATTCCTTGGCTGTCTTCGCATACAGGACTGTACTCAGGGGTTCATCCTTGAGCGTCAACGATATTTGTGCTTGTGCTTCACTATCTTTGAGTGCCCATTCCTC